CAGGGGGCAAGTCGGGGCTGTAGCCATCTGGCTCCTCCAGGATGGCTGCCATCAATCCGGGGCCGAAGCTCACCGGGTTCTGCAGCGCAGCCAGGTAGGAGTCACGGTGGCGGCACCTCGGGCCATGCAGCCCTGGCTCCTGGCTCAGCTTCCTCCCCAGGCACGGGCTGCAGGGACTCTCCTCTGAGCTCAGTGCCCCCCCACAGGGCCAGGCATCTGCCCCCAGTCCCCCATTTTCCCAGGGGAGCGTCACCTCAGCCGCAGCCCCCATTGTCCCTGGTGGGCAGATGGGAAGCAGGGGCCTGGTTAGGACATGCAGCTGCTCCTGGGATTGCTCCAGCAGGTTCACGTACTCCCCCTCCAGGTTCTGGCTGATGATCTCGCGGAGGCTGGGCACGGCCAGCGTGGATGGCTTCTTCCGCAGCCCAGCCTGCTCCACCTTGATCAGTCCCGGGTATCGTCCCTGGCTCGACTTCCAAGAGGTGGCCTTGCAGCCTGGGATGGTGCCTGCAATGTTGCCATAGGGCACAGGAACATTTGCCGTGCTGTGGTGCACGGGCGTGCCGGGTCCTGCTGGCTCAGGTGCAGTCTGAGGAGCAGGTTCATGCCGGGCACCTGCGGGCACACCATCGGCTCCAGCCCTGGGCTTGTTGACGAACTCTGGCGTGGCAATCCGGCTCCACGGCAGCGGGGTAACGCCGTTCTCGGTGGCCACCAGGCAGGTGTGCAGGGGGTCCCCAGCCCAGCTGCTGTTCACCTCCTCCAGCCACGCCTCAGTGAAGAGCAGTGCGTGGGCGGCCTCGGGGACCGGCGTCTCCTCCACCGAGCGCAGGTCCAGGGAGAGGTGCTTGACGGTGACGCGCGCCGAGTGCTCCTCGCAGGGCTCCGCTTGCAGGTAGAAGTCCCCGGGGCGCAGCAGGAGGGGGTTGAGTGGTGCCAGGTGCACGACCACCTTCTCGTGCAGACACAAGGGCCAGCCTTCATGGAGAAAGATGCGGTTAAAGTAGGGAGCCTGGGAGGGAGGAAGAACACAGCACGTGAGCGAGCCCTGCCAGCCCCACGCCCTCCCAGCCGCCCCACGCGCTCTCGCTGCCCGGCTCTGCGCTTCCCGCCGTAGCGACAAGGGATCCCAGTGGCACGATGGATGTCCCTCAGCCAAGTCACCACAGCAGAGCTGTGCAAGCCCACCCCGATCCATGGTTATTCCCAGGGTGTGGAGTCTCCCCACGTACTTACAGGGGGAAAACCCCTGCTTGAGCCTCTCTAGGAGCAAGACAAGGTGACCCTAGAGGGACTGCATGTGCTGGTGCATTCCCAGGGAGCTGGGTGTGCATGGTCCCCTCTGTGGGGAGGGGATGGGACAGGGAGGGAGCCATGCAGGCAGGATGCATTAGGGCAAATTCCCCATGTCCAGGAGCAGGACTCAGGGGCACTGCAGTGGGGGCACAGGGGCTTACACAGGCTGCCTGCCGCAGGCGCTCGAAGAGCCGCTTGGCCGGGATGAGGAACTGGAGCAGGTAGCAGAGCCCATCACCCTGGTAGCTGGTCTCCAGCAGCCGAAACACCTGGCCCAGGACAGTCGGGGCTGTGGCTTCGAAGGGCGGGTAGAGGGCCTGGAGAGCACTCTGCACTGCTGCATCCAGCGACCTGGCATCCTGCTGCAGGGAGGAAAGTGTCACTGGTGGGAGAGCAGCCCCGCAGCAGGGATGCCATCCCCCCCCAACCTGGTGCCTCTGCCCACCATCCCACACTGCACTACACTGCTGCCAAGGCCCTGGGATGCCCACGCTGCCAACGCTGATGAGCTCGGGGGGCTGCAAACCTTCTTGGGCTGGAAATGGGAGGAACTGGGAGTGGAGCATAGTGAGCACAGCACAGGCAGGGTATGCAGCATGGCAGGTCCATTTCCCAGTGATTAAGGAGCCCAGGATGAGCTCCCAAAGGCTGCCAGCCACCTTGCTCGGCCACCAGCCACGTGGAGGTGGAGGAGCCACAGCAGCCGAGGGGTTAAGCGGAGTCAGACCAGACAGAGCGTGGGGATGTGCTGGGCTCCTAAGTTCGCTGCAGGAATGCAGCAGATGGGAGGAAGGACAAACATCTGAAGATGGATAGGGTGTTTTGGTCCAGACCCATTGCTGAATTCGCCAAACTTGAAATTACTCCTGCAAGCATTTTCTGGGAAGCGTTCTGCTGTGTTGCAGCCCCCTGAGCTGCCCCAGACTGGGTGAGGACACTGGGTCTGTGCCACACGTGAACCAGCGGTTCCCAGTTCATTCTCCCAGTGCTGCAGGAGCTCTCGGCTGCCTGGACCCAGCTGGCACCGCTGCTACATGAGGGGAAGCCATCCCATGGCTCCCGTGATGCCCTGGCTGTGCTCCAGGCAGTATGAGGGTGACTCTGGCACACTTGCCAAAGGGACCCCATTGGTGAGTTGGGAAGAGGAGCATCCTCCAAGCATCTGGGTCCGGCACTTCAAGCAGCTGCAGTTTGCCATCAACCCTGTGCTCCTGTGAGGGCACCTGGGAAGTCCGGTGGAATTAGCTGAAGGTGGGATTAGCTCAAGGTGAGCATTAGTTTCAGGCAACTAATCCCTGGTTCAGGAGCCCATGCAGAGACAAAGGGGCCCTGGCTAATTCAGCTTAATTAGCTTTAATACGTTTTAGCTAAAGCACTTTGCAGTCACGCTTGGTTAATTCTTCTTGACTTTTTCTCCGTGTCTCCACACAGGAATCTCTGCCCTTGCACCTGACAGGAGAAGCCACAGAGCCAGGCAGAGCAGGAGGAGATCCAGTCTCTTCTCAGGGCCCTGATCTATTAGTGTATTCCCTATCCAGGCTTTCTGCCACTGGACCTTTCTCCTCACGCTTGGTCTTACTATGCACGATTCCCAGAAGGGACTGGAGATCTTTCTCTGGAAAATCTCTGCTGCAGGGCAAAGCACCCCACTCCATGTTGCTCCAGTGGAGCCCTGGTGCAGCCACCTGATCCCCTGTGCCAAGCCCAACCAGGCACCCACCACCCCTCTGTCCAGCACTGCTGAGCTCAGCTTCTTCCCCATCCCAACACCAAGGTGAGGAGCCACCATCTGCAACAGCACAGGGGGATCCATCCACCTCCAAATGCTGCCATGAGAAATGAGCCAGCACTGCCACCCTGCCTCCAACAGTCTTTTAAATCCTTCCAGGGATGGTGATGACTCCACCAGCGCCTGGGCAGTCTTTGCCAGAGCTTGACAGCCCTTTCAGTGAAGAAGTTTTTCCTAGTATCCAATCTAAACCTCCCCTGGCGCCACTTGAGGCTGTTTCCTCTCGCCCTATCACCCAGGACTTCATCCAGCGGCAGGGACTGTGTGAGCCAATGTCAGGAGAGAACCAGGGACTAATGGAGGCACCAGACACAGGACGGGTTGTGCTGGGGAATATTTTGGCCTGGAATGACTGACTAAAAATGTTTTCATGGAATGTCACAAAGCACTTCATCACTGGGGGAGGCTTTTGGGGTAACCATGGTGCAGCAGCTCTGCGTTCGTGGGCGAAGCCGCATCCGGGCCGGACAGGAGCCCGTAGGAATCCAAAAGCAGCCAGTTATCCCAGTCCCTCCACCCGCTGCGAGGGAGTGGAGCTGGAACAAAGGCATTAGGGAGCATAAGGAGATTTACATTTGCAAAGCTATTTCCATTTTAATAAGCCAAAGTGCTGTTAAATAGAGATTGATATTTCTCCCCAAATACCCATATTTTTAAAGTGGTTTACATCAACAAGTCAGGCTGGGCTTTGGGGTTTTGGTGCGGTGAAGTTGTTTAACCCGAGCCCAAAGCCACAGGGTGACTCAGCTCCAGCTCCTTTCTCCCCCCTGCTCAGGAAGGAGCGAGGTTTGAGTCTGGGACCAGTCCTGAATACCAATTCCTCTCTCTCTCCAGCAGCTCTTGCTGTCACCGACTTTGGCAGGACGAGATGCAAGTGCCCAGCCCGGCCTGGCAGAGCGGGATCTCTCTCAGCACATAGCCCGGGGCAACGGCACGTGCCGGCTGCGGTGACGAGCCAGTCGGCCCCGGGAGAGTCTGCTGAGCGTCCCCGCCACTGGCACAACTCACGCAGCAGCACCCACTCGCTGCACTCCACCCCCCTCACAAACTTTGCAGGGAAGTCTAAACATCGCAGGATGCAGCCCCGCACACACCTGCCCAAGGGGCCACGGCCACCTCCACACCTGATCTCCAACCTCACACTGATCTCCAACCTCGCACTGACCTTCATCTTCGCACGCACCTCCACCTTCACACCCACCTCCCTCCACCTTCACACCCACTCACCTCCACCTTCACACTTGCCTTCGCACCCACCTTCACATCCACCTCTGCCTTTGCACCTCCTTCCACCTTCGCTCCCGACCTCCCTCAGCTGTCGCTCCCGGTGCCCACCCCGTGTCCCCCCGGTGCCCGCGGGGCCGGCACCCACGGGGAGGGGCAGCGGCAGGGAGAGGGATGCCCCAGGAAATTACCATGTTTCCTAGGAAGTGGCGGAGGGGCCGGGGGCCGCGGCACCGACCGTCCCGTCCCTCCTCCTCCTCGCCGGGGCTCTCCGGCCCGGGGCTCCCAGCCGGTCCCCGTTCCGCGGGCGGCTCTTCCCGGCGCCGGCGCCTCCGGAGCCGCGGGCGGGGGCGGGCAGCCCCGGCCCCCCCGGCCCCCTGCGCCCGCCGCGCCTCTTCTGGGGGAAAAAAAAGAAGAAGAAAAAAAAAAGAAGGATAAAGAAAGAAAAGACTAAGAAAGAGCGAGCGGGGCGGGGCGGGGGAGGGCAGGGAGGGGGCTGGCGAGGGCGGCCCGGGGAGGGCGGGGGGGGCCGGGGGCCCGCTTCCCTGTGCCCGCCGACGGGAGCCCCCCGTGCGCTCCCGAGTTGCGGATCCCCCGGGGGGGTCTCCCTGCGTGCCCCCGCCGGTAGTGAGAGCAGCCCCTGGCGGGATGGGATGGGATGGCGTGGTGTAGGGAGTGTAAGACCCCCGGAGAAAGAAGCCCCGGGGGGTGGCAGGAGGGGCTGCGCTGGGGGTCCTCCCACAGCCCCTGCAGTCCCCTGGCCCCCGAGCAGCTCCAGACAGGGCGTCCTGGAATACACCGGGAACATGCAGAGCCGCATGTGCATGTGTATATGTAAGTGTGCAGATGTGTTCATACATGTAATGTCTGGGGGCATTTCCTTCTTTTCCAGTCCACCCCAGTCAGGCAGAGTTGGTGTGATCCCCAGCACTGGTCTGTGTCCTGGATGGATCCCGTGGCTCCCAGTTCCCGTTCCTGAGTTGCCCCAAAAGTGCAGCAGCAGCACAGTGAGTATCTCTCGGGGGACTTTGAGCTCTTCCAATGATGGGAAGGACCCACTGAGGAGCAGGATTGTGGGATTCAGCAACCAGAACTGTACAAAAACAACCAGCGTAAGAGCCAAAGCCACAGATTTGGTGTCTCCTCAGGCAAAGTGCTGCTCTGCACAGCTCTGCCAGTTCTGGGCACAGACAACTCTCCCAGCCCCAGACATGGTGGGCACAGACAACTGTCCCATCCTCAGGCACAGTGGGCTCAGGGTTCCCAGCTCTGCCAGCCCCGTTTGCAGTGTCCAGCACTCTTAAACCCTCTTGCTCAGGCTGGAGTCATTTCCACTGTCATGTTCGTGGGAATGGGCTCGAGGCCGGGACCGGAGCTGGGAAAGGAGACAGGACTAGGGCGGGTGGGCCGCAGGCTGCCGGGGCAGTCTCGCTAAGGAACATTTGTCCAGGGATCAGTGAGCGGCCAAAGGACAGGCTGTGAAAACAAGCCGAGACGGGAGGAGGTGCAGCTGGGCTGCTGGCGTGTGGGAGGGAGGACGGCGCCAGCGAGGCCTTCGCGTTTGCTTCCCATTTCCTTGGGAGCTGGCGAGAGCCCTCCCGTCGCCCACATGGATCACGAGTGCTGCGAGGGCTCAGGCACCAGGGGTTGTGCAGGTGGGCAGAGGCTTGGCCGTGGGGACCGGGCTGGGTCGCTGGGCTGAGCTCACACACAGCTCCCTGCAGGGCTGGCCCTTGGCTCCCAGCCTCCTGCCCGGGATCCCCAATGCCAGCTGGGGCCAACTGGGCAGCTCCTCCTCCCCACCAGCAGCCGATTCCTCCTGTAATTGTGTTAGTTCGCTTACCAGCTTCAGGCTTTTTGTAGTTCCTCTGAGAGCAGGGGAGTGTGAGCTCAGGGCTGTGACCTTCTTTAATTGTGTAGTCACCTCTGAAATGAGCCCAAGAACTTGCTTTGGCTCTCGCGCCTCCTGACGGGCACCAGGCTGAGGGCAGGGAGGAAGGCAGTGTGACTGACCGGGTCCTGGCACCAGCACAGTGGATCAATCCCTCTGTGGTACTGGCAAGCAGGAGGGGACAGATGTGGAGCTGAGCCCAGAGGGACCCCATCACCTTGGCACTGAGAGCAGCAGCTCCCCACCTGCACCATGGGGTGCCTTTTGCCAGCTGTGCTGAGCTGGGCCACCCTATGAGGGCACTGAGCATGGCTGGGTCCAGCCCTGCATCCCCCAAAGCATCTCCCCATCCCCTCCTGCCAGCCTCAGACAGTGAGGCTCAGAGTTGGGAGTCAGGCTGTTGTGGAGCAAGCCCACCCAGTAAAAGGCAGAGCTCTTTGGGGCCTCATGGGTGCCCCTTCCACTCTGGGGCCCCTGACCCCATGAGCTCACCCTGCTCTGCTGCTCCTGTTCTCCATGTCCTGTTTGTCCCGAGCAGCTGCTGGGACAGGCTTCATGTGGCCTCCTGCCCTGTCCCTCTGCCGGCACAGAGCCACCATTCAGATCCCCCCCGGGCTCTGCCCGAGGTCACCATTCCTGCATTTTTATTTTTACTTTTCTGCAAAATCAACCCCCTTGGCTCTCTGCATCCCCCTTTGTCTCCCACGAGGCTCCCAGACCCTGTGTCATGAGCTGGCGTGCTGCGAGAGGAGCCCGCCTGTCTGGGGGAAGGCAACCCTTGGCGGGGGGAGAGACACTGACTGCAGTGCCGGTCCCAGGGGTCCCCTGGGATGTCACTGGGATGTTGGGCTGGAGGGAGGATAAGGGTGGTGAGCCCAGCATCAGGGTTGGTCTCTGTGGCTGGGCTCCTGGTGGACCCTATGTCCCCACACCCAGGGTCCTTGCCTGCTGCTGGCCATGCCCTGCAGGGGCTGTGTGAGCTCTGGGGTCCCCGGGTGTCCCCGCTGACTCTGTTTGATGAAGCGGTCAGGGCTGGCGTCAGCAGCGACCCCACGCTGGCCTGGAGCCCTCCCAGCTTCAGGAACAGCTGTGGCTGGGTCACGCTGAGCCTGCAGCTGGGAAAACAACCATGGAGGAGCCCCCACATGTCCCCCAGATGTATTTTTAGATGCTGCTGGGTCAGAGGCTGTCAGGGACGTGCAGGTGACAGTGGGCAGCATCAGGCTGGCAGCAACACCACACATGAGGCAGTGGGCAGGAGCTGCAGCTCCCCACACCTCGATGTTGACAGTGTTTCTCTGAGCTCTGATGAAGTGCCTGCTGGTCTAGGGATGACCACAGTGGCCACAGGTCCTGGTCACAGCCCAGTTCTGTTGGTGACAGTGAACTTGTCCTGGCTGGAAATGGATGTGGGAGGTTTTATTTTGAGCTGTTGACTTTTCTTTCCAAGTTCCCTCCAAACCCATCCAGGCTGCTCTCGCTTTCCTTGCCGAGTCCCCGGGTTTTCCCCGGTGTTTCCCCAGCCCACATGCGCCTGCCGGTGGAAGGCTGGTGAGCAGCAGCAGTGCTGCCTCTGGCACCGGCACACGCCGTCGGGGGAATTCCCGGGGTGATTGTGGCACCGCGGGACACGGGTGTGTCCGGATTTCCTTGCAGATGGAAAACGTGCCTGGATGTCCTTGCTCACCAAAGCAGCACTACCCCAGCCCAGCCCCTGTGGTCCCTGGGGAATCCTAGCACGTGGCTGCAGGGAGGTTTGGGCCATTGTATCATGGGAGAGATGTGGAAAGAGCTGGGACAGGATGGGGAACCGCCTGCACGTGCTGAGGAGTGTGTGGGGCCACAGGGAACTCTGGCCTGGTGAGCAAGGGGTGTCGTGGGGACAGCGGGGAGCGGTGTCCTGATCTGAGCAGGGGACAGTGGCAGCACAGGAAAGGGAATTCCTGCAAGTCCCTGCCCTCCTGGGATACTGGCTCCCATCTGACCATGGCCCATTCCTTCTGCAGCATCCGGGGGGACTGGCCTCTCCCCAGCAGAGGAGCCCTCACGCTCCTGGAATGGGCAGAGAAGCTCAGCAGGAGAAGCCTCTTCCCGTCTGAAAGTCTGGGTCAAACAGGGCAGGATTTCACGATCAGTCCCTTCTGTCATCCCTTGCAGGAAGCACTCCTAGGAGCATCCTGTGTGTCAAACTTTAGATGTGGTTTTGGCTGTTCCTTGCCGAACACAGGAGTGTTTTGTTAGGGTTGGGCTCTTTGCAGGCTTTTTTCAGTTCAACCTCAAAATTTGCTCAAATCCAGGAGGAAGACTTCCTGGTTTTGCTTCCTATCTGTGCTGCTCCCTATAAAATTTCATTTCTCCTCATGGAAGATGTTCTGATTCCTCAGTGCTCCTCCTGAATGTCTTGACTGCTGGCCTGAAGTAGCCCTGTTGAGGTGGGGTGTCACCATGGGAGGTTTGGGTGCTCATCCTCTGAAACAAGCCAGACTCAGCAAAGAGCTGGTGATGGGTGACAGGAAGGATCATGGTGCTGTGGAGGATGTGAGTGGGGATTTGGCCTTTCACCCTTCAATTCTGCCCTTGGCTGCTTCTTTCTGGGCAAAAGGAGCTCTGGGCAAAAGGAGCTCTGCCCATGGGCTCCTGGCTCCCAGGGATAGATTGGGCTGGCACTGAGGATCACAGCCTGTGGATGGTGGTGGGTGCCTGTGGAACACGGCTCTGCCCGGGACGGTTTGTCCCTCTCTGAAGGCGCCGTCCTTGCCATGTGCCTGTTTCCCTGCCCTGGGTCTCAGAGCTGACAGTGACTGCAGTGCCACTTTCCAAAGCTGTAGCCATTCATACAGGCCTGGTGGGCATTTGCTGGGCGTCTGCCAGGCAGCCTGCAAGTGACCTCACCAAAAGCTCGTGGGAAGAAAGGCAGAGGGGAACCGAGTGCACTGGTCTCTCCATCCCTGCTCTCCACGTGCCGGGTTTCTCCAGCACAGACACTCAATGCCCTGTGGCCCCATCCCTTGGGGTCTCCTGGGGCTGCAGCACTGGGGGATGGCCGTGCCATGCCAGTGGCTCTGCTTGAGCAATAGCTGCATTTCACAACATCCTTGCTTGGCTCAGGGATGTTGCCTCTGGCAGCCAGGACTTCCCTGGATCCAGCATGAGATCTGCCTGCATCAGCAGCTGCGGGTTTCCTGTGCCTGGACCCCATCAGGAAATGAAAGTAACTGAATCATTTCTTCTTCCCTCACCTCTGTCCTGCAAGGAGAGATCAGCCAGCCCAGCTCTCCCAGCTGAGGGCCACGGGGTTGCTCCCCCCTTGCCCCTACCTGCCTGCACCCAGCTCCTGCTCCTGTCTCCAGCCATTGTGATGAGAGCTGTGACTTGTCAGGGCCTCAGAAGTGTTGTCTTTGGGGCTTGATCCTGGAGTGATGGATGTCTCCACTTGTGCATGGCTGCTCTGGGCTGGAGCCCTGTGCCAGAGCCTTGGGGTGCAGGAACGTGTCTCTGTCAGGCTCTGCTGCCAAACCCAGCTCTGCTCCACTGAGCACCTGCTGCTGCTGCATGCAGGGATTGCTGGCACTGACAGAGAGCTGGGAACTGGGCTGTTGCCTCTCAGTTTCCACTGCCCCTTCCCTGCCTTTGATGAGAGGCACCAGCTGTGCTGCTGGGTACAGGTGCCACGGTGCCAGTGGCACAGAGGAGCAGGGCGGTGGCCGAGCAGGAAGCCCTGTGGATCTGGGGACGCCCCGCCTGGCTCCACACGCCTCCCTCTCCAGAGGTTCCCGTTTTGGCAGGGATATAAAGGTGGCGTGGGCAGGGAGAGCACGGCACTGCGGGAAGCCAGGATGGGAGTGCAGAGCCTGGCAGTGGCTTGCGGGGCACTGGCCTTATGCCTGGCACTCACCACAGCCACCAACCCCGGCTTTGTGGTGAGGATCACCCAGGCAGGCTTGGACTACGGTGGGTTCTGCTTCTGATTTCTCTCCTTGCAGATGTGCTGGTGGCAGAGGGGTAGAGCTGGGCCCCCTGTGAGAAGTGCAGGGTCCTGGGGCAGGATGGGGCTTCTCAGCCATGGGTGCCCCTGTGGAGAGCACAGGGTCCTGGGTCAGGATGGGAGAATCCTTGGACAGGGGTGCCGAATGCGCCATCGCCCAGGGCTTCCCCTTTTACATCCATCTGCCTTCCTCACCCCCCAGCTTGATGGAGCCCCTGCAGAGGGGACCAGACCTGTGGGGTCTTGGAGAGCTGCACGCAGGTGTTGAGGGAGGGGCTGGTCCCACGGCACATGTCCGGGCAGCTGAGCCATGAGCCCTGGAGGAGTGAGCTGTGGAGGAGAGAGGAGGTGGGGAGCTGCAGGGTAGGGAAGTGACAGAGATGGATGGGCCCTGTGCTGGTTTTATGGAGGCAGGCAGAGCCCTGGCTCCAGCAGAGCACAGTTATGGATTGAAATACACTGTGTGAGAAACAGCTCATTTAGCTGGCAGCTCTGCCAGCTGTGCGGGAGAGGACGTGACTCCCCTTCCCAGACAGAGGCAGGGAGGCATCAGCACCCACTGATGCTGTGCTACTCCTTAGGACACAGGCTCCATCCAGCTTTTCCTGCTGGCACTGAGCATGGAGCAGCCTGGAGCCTGGGACCTCCCATGTTCCTCACACAGTGCACAGCCTGGAGAGCGAGGACTGGGACCTCTTTCTCCTTTCTGTGGCCACCACCTTGCCCTGGGGCTTGCAAGCAGGACACCAGGCAACCTCGTCTGGGTGCTCACAGGGCTGGCTCTGTAGAAGGAGACTAACTTTAAAGCCCACCTGAGAGGTGGAAAGCATCACCTGGATGATCCTTCCTCTGCATGCCCGAAGTGCGCTCCAGCTCCTGTGGCAGCGGTGGCAGCGATGCTCTCCCCGTGTCCCTGCAGCCCATCAGCATGGAATCGCGATGCTGGAGAAGAAGCTGGCTGAGCTGACGCTGCCAGACATGTCGGGTGACTTTCGTGTCTTGCGTGTGGGAAAGGTGCACTATGAGCTCTCCAGGTGAGCCCTGCCAGCACCCAACCCAGGCGATGGGCAAGGGGGGGTGGTGGCAGAGACCTACTGGAGCAGCGAGGAGCATCCTGTCACCTCCACAGCTCCCTGAGATGTTGGCCCTGTCCTTGGTACAGGCAGAGATGTTCCTGCTTCACCCCCTGCCCAAAGGGAAAAGAGAACTGGGGTGATGGTACTCTGGGTGTGGGTGGAGTTTGTGAAATCAAAGACCAGATAGTGGAGGTGGCCTTGTCTGTAGGACTAGGGCCCCCATCTCCACACAGAGGAGGAGCCCAGCCCCTGTGGATATCCCAGCTCCCTGCTGCCTCCACTCCTGCTGCACAGGTTTTGGAGCTGCTGCCTGGGTGGCTGCAAGGACCATGTTCCTAAAGGCACCACTCTGCTCTGTGTGTCTCTGCCAGGCATAGCTTTGCTGCAGCAGAACTGGAGCTGGGGCACTGCAGTGACTCCCCAGCCGTGTGCTCCCACCACTGTAACATAACTTTTCTTTTTATTCATTTATTTTTAGACTGCGCCTTCGCAGTTTCCACCTGCCCTACTCACGGATTTCCCCTGTCCCCAACGTGGGCCTGCAGGTTGCCATCTCCAACGCCTTCGCCGAGCTGGATGGGGACTGGCGGGTGAAGATGCTCTTCATGTGCGTGCCCAGCTCCTCCCCTCCCTGCTTGGGTGCTCACTCCGTGTCTCCCTCTCTGGATCTGGACAGGTTTTTCCTCCTCTCCCTCTGCCGTGTGTTTTGGGCAGCTGTCACTTTGCTGCCCCAGATATGATGGATAAAACAGGGTGGGAGGCAGGAACAGGACACATGATGGGAGAGCTGTGCATGGACTCTCAGGTCTCTTTTCCACCTCCCCTACTTGCTCTCACTCTCCTCTATTTAAAGGTTACCTCTCCTACTTTATGTGCCAGTGAAATTTGTTTTCCCTGAGTTTAACAACTTTCCCAGTCTCCTCTGGATGCACCATGCAAGGAGTCTGAGTTAGATTGATCCATCCCAGAGCTGATCTGAGGTCCCTTCACCAGGCCTTGGCATTGAGAAACATCCCTTTCTCATTCCCCTCTCCCTGCAGCCGGGACCACGGCTCATTTGACCTGAAGGTAGAGAATGTCTACATCAAAATCAGCCTGAGGCTGGGCAGCGACGCCACTGGGAAACCCACCATCAGCACCTCAGACTGCAGCACCCGCATCTCCAAAGTCCGGGTGCTCTTTTCGGGCAAATTTGGGTATGTAACTTCACTGGGAGATCTGGAAGCACTGTGTGTTGGCCCATTTGCTGTGGGAATGTAGCCCTGCCATTGGAATGTGGCCCTGGTGCAAGGAGTAAGATGCTGGCATATCTGAGCTTGCCTGGTCTTAAATCTGGCCTGAATTTCTCCTGCTGTGGCTGCACTTTTAAGGGGGTTAGGGGCGGTTAAGGCAGATACCAGACTTTTGTGGTTTACCAGCAGGTCTGTTTGCAAATGTAAACCCTGAGGCAAAGCCAGAAGTCAAATTGGTATGAGAACAATGTTCCCAAGGTCCCACATCTCTAGGGTAGATAGACATACTGGGCACATACTTCTGCAGCAGTTCCTGAGCTAGACACAGGGCTCCTCTCTGTGTTTCTCTGCAGGTGGCTTTACAACCTCTTCCACAGTGCTGTTGAGTCCAAGTTCAAGAAGATTTTGGAGAGTAAGGTACGTGAGCAGTGTAGGGCAGGGCTCTGTGTTTTTCTGATGGTCTTTAGCCCTTACTTGTAGCTGATGTGCTGGAAGAATCGGAGCAGATGCAGGGATGTAACTAGAACCAGAGCACAGGACTGTGTTGCCAATTTGGTGAAAACGGGCATTGCAGGCTCCGTAGCATCATGTGTCTCAGGCTGAATTTGAAACCTGCAGCCTTTGCCAAAGCCCAGTGTAATTGGTTCCTAATTAACAAAGACTTTTCTTTCCATGTGGTCAGTTAATTAGATCTTATGCCTCAGCCAAACTCATTGTAACAGAGGGAACCTGATCAGAGCTGTCCTTTAACCAGCTGTGCTCTGGAGGGCTTTGGGGAGCACTGGGGGGGAAACTCTCATTCCTGGATTTCAGACACTTGCTGTTTTGTTTTATGGAGGGGGGTCAGGGAGCCCTGGTACTGCCGCCTGGTACAGACACTGACATGCAGGAGACCTGCAACAAGACATGGAAACAAGCTGTTAGCAATAATTGCTACAAGGATAACTGGCATGAGTTACAGCCTCCCTGGATGTGAACCTTGTTCAGGAAGGAGGCAGTTGGAGAACAGGCAAATCCCACTCCTGAGGCACATCCCATCCTGCCCGGGGCACTATTCCCAATACCATGCAGTGCCTTTCCCAAGGCCCCTGGGGGCTGGGACAGCAGATGGCCTGGCAGCAGGAGCCACGCTGGGACTCAGAGGCCTTTTCTGCTGTTTTGCCCCCTCGAAGGAGGGCAGCTCTGGGACTGTGAGGGGACCCTGCTGCCCTCTCTGCCTCCTCTGGGCACTCTCTGCCCCACACAAATTCCTTGGTGTCTTTGTGTGAGTGATGGTGCGAGGGGCGAGGGGCAGGAGAGGGAGTGCACTGCCTGGAACCCCCTCTGCACAGCTCGGTCCCAACCCAGCCTGGGCAGCCTGTGTCTGCCTCCTGCTCTCACTGCACATGCTTGGACACTCCTCGTGCCCCCAGTGCTGAGGCACCATTCCCGGGGAGATCCAGCTCACAGGGAAATCCAGGTCATGGGGAAATCCAGGTCACAGGGAAATCCAGGTCGCAGGGAAATCCTGGTCACTGGGACCAGGGCTGTGTTTGCCTGTTTGCAGCAACGTCCTTGCAGGAAGCAATGGGGCTTTTCCAGCACAGACAAACAAATATCGCTGGGCACAGGGAAGAGCAGCAACCTGCTGTCTCTAAAGCCATGCCCAAGGCTCTGTCCCTCCTCCTCCCTGGCACTGCCCAGCCAGCAGCTTCATCACTGTCAGTGTGGTCACTGCCCCTCCGCAGTGCTGCATCTCGCCATCAGCTCTGTGGGCTCCATGCCTGGTCAGAGATGATGGCTGGATCCTGCTGGTAGTTTCTGTGATAATACAGCAAAAGCACTGGAAGGAGCTTTGCAGATTTTCTCAGCCACCTGCAGGACTGTGCCCCACAGTAAATTTCCTGGATTAAATCCCCACTAATGCCTGGGCTTCAGCTGGGTATGACAGCAGCAAAGGGATGTGCTCTTCTGTCCTGGTACGGAGTTGTAGGAGCTCAGGAAAGCTCAGCTACAGTGCAATCAGTGCTTCTGCCCCTGTAGGGTAGATTAACCCCTTCAGTTGCTCTGCTTTGGCCAAGTCCTGGCAGCTCACAGTTCATTCCTGCACCAGGGAATGGTATAAACCCTGCTTGTATCTTGGACACTTAATGTGCTGTCTGATGGATGGAGACAATCATCACTGTGTACTCTTTTATTTAAGCAGGCTTTGTTAAGGAATAAACCCAGCAGCAGGCAGCAGAGCAGGGAGTGTGGCCTCGGCTCTGAGAGGGGGCTGTGACCTGGCTGCCCCTGCTCAGCTCCGTGGCCTTTCTCTCACACAGGTCTGTGACAGCGTGGCTGAATCTGTGCACAATGAGCTCCAGACATACGTCCGGACCCTGCCAGGTACCAGGGGGCTGCATGGGGGTTTAGGACCAGTTTTTCTTAGCCTTTCCCAGCCATGAGAACAGCATTTTACCTTGTGTCCACTCCCCACCTCCTCGTATTCCTGCATCCAAGCTGGGAGCTGGAGAGGACCTCATCAGCAAAAACATGTCACTGTGCACTTTGTCTGGCTGTGGAGACCCCTCCAGGAGCTGTGCCCCAGGACTGGCAGGGGCTTGGGCTGCCCTAGCTGGGGTACCCAAGCCATTTCTCAGGTCCAGGAGTCGGTTTGCACGGCTGAGAAACAGCCAGGAGGAAAATGGGATTTTTTGCTTCTAAACAGAAGCAAGCACATGTGGAGCTGGTACGGAGCTGATGCACCAGGAAGCCCAGATGCAACACTGCCTGAATGCCAGTCAAGGTGATCTGCTCCCAGATTTCCCAGCCATCTCCCTCTCGCTCACCTCTCTGCCTTGTGTTCACAGTCACGGCCAAGATAGACGCCAGGACTGGGATTGATTACTCCTTCGTGGCACCCCCAGTTGCTACTGCCCAGTCCCTGGACACAGGCCTGAAGGTGAGAGGCTGCCCTGGGGACACTTGATTTGGCCGATGCTGTTGCCGCAGGCGGGTGGGTAATGCCAGCCCGGGTCAGCAGCTGAGCCCCACCACTATTTGCCCTCCTTCTCCAACTCTCTCCCTTCTCCCAGGGTGAATTCTACTCCCTGGCCCACCGCTCCACTGTCCCCTTCTCACCACTGCCGCTGTCCTTGCCCTCGGATCACGATCGCATGGTTTACTTCGGGGCCTCCAGCTACTTCTTCAACACAGCCGGCTTCGCCTACCACACGTCCGGGGCACTGGTCTTCGAAATCACGGATGCCATGGTGAGTGGTGCAGGAGGGATAAGGCTGGCCCCAAGCCCCTGGAAGGGATTCCATTTGCTGAAGAGCTCTGGTGGCAGCCAGAGGTCTTGGAGGACCCCCAGTGGAAGAGCTGGGGCTGTGGGATGAGGCCGGGCTGTTGAGCACGGCAGCAAGTGGGGACGGGTGGGCTCGCCAGGGGCTCTGCTGTGCCACATTGCCCCAGCATGACAGTCCTCTCCCTGCAGATCCCAAAGGATGTTGATTTCCACTTGAACACCTCCACCTTCTCAGCCTTTGTTCCCCAGGTGAGCAGTCCAACCCTGCCTCCCCAGAGCACCTGTACACAGAGGTGTTCTCCCCCAGCAGCTCAGGTTTGTGCCACTGTCCCCACTCTCTCCCTGCTTCCATGCAGCTGGAGCAGATGTACCCGAACATGCCAATGAAGCTCAGGCTGTCCACCCCCACTGCCCCGTTCCTGAACATTGGACCAGGAGGAATCTCACTCAGGCCCATTGTGGATGTCCAGGCTTATGCCATCCTTCCCAACTCCAGCCTGGCTCCTCTCTTCGTCCTCAGCCTGGTGAGTTCATGAACAACCTGCAAGTAGTGAGGCAAAGACAGAGTTTGAGTTGTGCTCAGTCCTGTTGCCCAGCTCCTGCCAGGGGAGGTGCCATGTGCTGTCCAGTGCAGTGGGGGTCCCCAACAGAACAATACCCAAGCTGACAAATGCCACGTTTAATGCTGGGTGCAAACATGCCCCCGGATGGGCAGTGGTCCTGCTGTGTTTCAGCTGGTCTGAACTGTTTCCTGGGTGTCTGGTTTGGGGTGAGGTGGGATGGTCACTGCTGGAGCTCTGTGCTCTCTCCCCAGACAGGGAACGTGTCTGCTGTCATCGACGTGAGGTCTGGCCACATAGTTGGGAGCCTGAATGTGGGCAGGTACAGAGGGGAGCGGCCACTGCTGGGCAGGGGGTGACTGGGGGTGTTTCTGTTCTGGGCTCCCAGGGACAGAGGGTGGGTGGGGAGGTCCCAGGGATGTGGACCTGGTGTGGAGGGAATGAGCTGAGGCTGGAGGGAGCAGGATCTGCATGGCCATCAGTGGGTGGAACTGCTCCCTCCACTGGGACATCCCTGCTCCCTCCGCTGGGACATCCTCCACAGCACCACTTCTGTCCCTGTGCAGGATCAAGCTCTCTCTAAAGGACTCTGTTGTCGGCACTTTCCAGGTAAGTTATCCTTGAGCATGATCAGAGCCCCCAGTATGGAGTTGAGAGCCTGCTGGGGGCCAAGGAGAGAGCTCATTGCCCCTGCCCCACAACACGGGACCTGGGGGTGCACTCAGGACCCCACACTGATCCTGCCTCAGCCTGCAAGGCTGGGAGAGGATGCAGAGCCAGATCCATTGCTGCTCTCACCCCCGCACTTCCTACCCTACCAGTGTGGCCAGACAAGGCTGCTGGTCTCTGACAAAGTGTGTGCTCATCCCGACTCCTCATCCCTTTTTCTTTTCCCAATTATCCTCCAGTGCTTGCACATCTCTTGTCCTGCAGGCTAAAACTTTTCCTCCCCCTCTCCCCGCTCCCCAGGTGCGACTGCTGCAGTCCATAATGAACATCTTTGCTTCCGATATCCTGCTCCCCCGTCTTAATGGTGAGAACCTGCTGGGGGGAATGGGGGTGCTGGAGCAGCCTCCAGTCGGGTTGCTCCATTCAAGCGGTCCCAGCTCACTAATTAAATCCCTGTTGCCAAGGCTGATCCAGGGGTAAAAAGCCCACAGAGTGTGCAGGAGGTGGCTGTGAAGTGGCGGGATCCTCTTGCCACTGTGACATGCTCCCAGCAGCACACGCAATGGAAAAAATGAGCCCTGTGCATATCTTAATGCTTTCCAGACCCTCTCCCCCACTCCCTGTTTCTCCTGCCTCTCCAGCAATTCGGACCAGAGCGGGGCTGGCGGCTGGAGGGGCCCAGGGGGCTGTCATGGCACAACACGCAGCCCCCAGCCCTGCCGTGGAGCTTGGGAGGAATTTCCTCTGCCTGCCCTGTGAGCAGCAGAGGCAAGGAAGGGGCTGGGGGGAGGAGGTGGCTGCCTTCTCTGCGTGGCCAGTGCTCCCTTCACTCCCCTTCCCATCCCAATGCAGCTATGTGTTGTCTTTTCCAGCCCGGTTAGATGAGGGTTTCCCTCTGCCACTGCCCGACAGGATACGGCTCCTCAATACCTTCGTAAGGTTCCACCAGGTGAGTGAGGGGGAGCACCTGGGCCCAGCTGGGGACCATCCTGCCACCCCTGAGCCCCTGCCAGCCACCACAGCCTCCAAATCCAGTTCCCACAGCCATGCTGGGAGGGAGCAGGCAGGAGGGTGATCTCAACAGCCCAGTGGCAAACCAGAGCCCTGCTTTTCCCATCTGCACGGTGGATGCCTGGGGCAGCATCACATCCTTCTCCAGTTCTTGAACCCGGGGCTTCAATTTCCCACAACACTTTTTATAGCATCTTTAGCAGCAGTGTCAGCCCCCAGCCCCCTCCCTGCCCCATGGGCAATGTCTGTTGGGATGCTGTGAGGTGGGACACAGCTGCTCCCTGCAGGGCATGGGAGCCTGTCAGCCCCTGTGGAAGGAGCTGTGCCGGGTCCTGGGGAGCAGAGAGAGCCCCTGTGGTGGGGAGCCTTAGGGAAACCCCAGAGGGGTGTCACCACAGTGGCTGTGAAATGCCTCCAGAGCCTGCCAGGGTGAAAATTAGGCACAGGGGCTGGCAGAGCCACGTGCCAATCCCGTCTCCCTCCTGGGGTATGATGGGTGCTGGGGAGTACAGCTGCCAGGGCTGGTGTCAGTCCAACGCTTTCTCTCTTTTTCCCAGAATTTCCTGCTGCTCGGAGCAGACGTTCATTTCCAACCTAAGGCATGAAGATAAGGCCATGAGGGACCTCCAGCACTGAAAATACCCCCTTGACTCCTTCACCTTTCCCTGCCCCTGGCCCTGCTGCGGGAGACAAACACCACTGATCCTGCCAGTGTCCTGCACCACTGCCCTGGCCTGGACTGTGGCCAGGGGCAGCAGCACTCCCAGGGCTGAACCCCCTGTCCCCTCACTGGGGCCTTACCCAGTGCTACTGAGAGCTGAGGGTCCGTTGCCCCCAGCCATCTCCTCCCCTCCCTCCCTCCTCATCCCAGGGCCTCTGAGCAGCAATAAAGGCGCTGGCGCCGGGGCCGTGGTGTCAGTGTCACTGTCTGTGCCTGGGGCCACACCGGGCTCTCTGCACTGGGCCAGGCGGGAGTGGGAGTGGGAGCGGGACCACTGGGCTCATCTGTTCCCATTGTCACAGCCATGTTGAGGCCCCGCAGAATGCCCGTGTCCTGAACATGAGCCAGTGTGTTCCCAGACAGCCAAGGCCAGTGGCATTTTGGCTTGTAGCAGGAATAGTGTGGCCAGCAGGACCAGGACAGTGATTGTCCCCCTTGCAGTGGGCACTGGTGAGGCCACACCTCAAGTGCAGTGTCCAGCCCCTCATTTCAAGAAGGACATTGAGGGGCTGGAGCGTGTCCAGAGAAGAGCAATGGAGCTGGTGAAGGGTCTGGAGCACAAGTCCTGTGAGGAGCAGCTGAGGCAACTAGAGGGGCTTAGCCTGGAGAAAAGGAGGCTCAGGGGAGACCTTCTCACCCTCTACAGCTCCCTGAAAGGAGGTCATAGCCAGGTGGGGGTCAACCCTTTCTCACAGTCAAGCAGCAATAGGATGAGAAGACCTAGTCTTAAGCCGCTCCAAGGGAGGTTTAGGTTGGACATCGGGAAGAATTTCTTCGCAGAAAGGGTGATTAGATATTGGAATGGGCTGCCCATGGAGGTGATGGAGTCACGAGTCTGGAGTGCTTAAGAAAAGACTGGACATGGCACTCAGTGCCACATGGTGGTGTTCCGTCATAGCTTGGACTTGATGATCTCAGATGATCTCGATGACCTTTTCCAACCTAAATCATTCCGTAATTCCGCGATTTCCGCGGCGGTGCCGCGCGGCAGCGGGGCGGGTCCGGAACGGCGGCGGGGCGGAACGCGGCGCCGAGGGGCGGGGAGCGGCGGCCGGGCCGCTTTGTCGGCCCACCCGGCCGGTCCGTCCCCCAAAGTGCCCCCCCGGCCGCGGCCATGCTGCCCGGGGCCCGAGCACTGCGGGCGGCGGGGCTGCTGCGCCCGCCCAGGGCCGGGCCCCGCACCGGGGCCGCCCGCAGAGCGCACTGCGGGCCGGGACAGCGGCCTGAGGGGCGCGGGGCCGCGCTGCCCGCGGGGCCCGACCTGCGGCACTTTCTGAGGGCAGCGGCCGTGAGGGAGACGGGGCCACCACCCGAGACGGGCTCTGCCCCCGGGGCCCCGAAAGGTCTGTGGGTCTGCAGGTCCGCCGGGTTCGTGGGGTCAGTCGAACGGGGGGGAAGCGGGTTGTTTGGGAGCTTTTGGGGCCCTGAGGGGGTTTTGGCACTAGAAGGAATTTAGTCCTTGGCTCCGCACTGGTGTGTCTCCCCCGCCGTGGAGCTGGGCAGGGAGTGGGTTGTGTGCCCCCCGTCACGGATCTGGGCAGGGAGTGGGTTGTGTGCCCCCCGTCACGGATCTGGGCAGGGAGTGGGTTGTGTGCCCCCCGTCACGGATCTGGGCAGGGAGCAGGCTCTGTGTGTGTGTCCCCACCACGGAGCTGGGCAGGGAGGGCGTTCCTCTGGCACCTGCCCGCGGTGTGTGCTGGGCTGTCAGCGGGGATGTGGCAGAGCCCTGGCTGCGGCGCCCTGGGGAGGGGACGGTTCTCATTGCACTGAGAGTTGTATCTCAGTAAGGACACAGCAGCTCCATGGCCCAGACCTGTCGCGTTGCAGAGACATGCTCTGATCATGTGGGCTTCTCGGAGTGTGTCCTTCGGTTATCCTTTGTGGGCTGCAGGTGAAGGCAGCTGCTTCTCTAACTCCAGTGGTGGGATTGAAGGCTTCTTCCTATAGAGAAGGTCACAGAACAGGCTGTGGATGGGAGCTGAGCAGGTCCCTGCCTGTGTTGCAGTTTACCTGGAGACCTACGGCTGCCAGATGAACGTCAACGACACGGAGATCGCCTGGGCCATCCTGCAGAGGAACGGCTATGCCAGGACAAAGAAGCTGGATGAGGTAAGGCAGCACCTTGGCAACTCTCCTGGAGTGCAGGGCTGCGGGGGCCTTGTACCCTGGCTGTGCCTGCAAGTCCCAGCTTTCCTCTGGAGTGCAGTCCTGCAGGATGTTGTGGTTTTTGCGATCTGAGTTCTGCAGAGTGGAGGAAACTACCTAACAAGTGTGGTAGAAAGCTGTGGGTTGTCTTTTTTCTTTAAACTGCTGGGCTCCCTCTCAGTTGGAGAGGGATTGGACACAGCAGGGTCCTCCTGACTCATCTTTGAGTTTAATTCTGTCATTTAGTGGAAGACTCTACTTGTCTTCTCTTACTTTCTTGCACTTCTGTTTGTTGAAACCCACTGTGTGCTCAGGCAGGTCTTTTTGCCTGACTTAAGTGAGTTTTATAGTCTGCCTCTTCAGGTTACCCAGGCAGGGCATGAGAAACTTATCATTTGGCTTTTATGAATTCTTCCTTTTTTGTTGCTTTCAATTTAGGCAGATGTGGTTCTCCTTGTCACCTGTTCCGTGAGGTAAGGAAACTTTTATCGCTGCTGGGTTTGGACAGTTTTTAAGGAATTTCCATTTGAAAACCAGAGCAATACATGTGTTGTGTGAGGAAAAGAGTGTGCAGGTGTGAAAGTGACTGTTTAGTTGAGGGTAGAGCTGGCTGATGCCACGATTTACAACATTATTTGTACTATAAATTGCTTTTTTCTCTAGTGAGAAGTTGTTTGGTAGTGCAAGCTCTGTGTATATGCCATGAGCAGTGAGAGACCTGCACAGTCAGTGCTTTAATGATTTTCTCTTGAAGTGGGTGTCTAGTACAGGGTGTCTAGTACTTCAGAAGTGTGAGAAATATAGTTAAGGGCAATTTGATATAAATACAAAGGGAACTTTGCTTGGTTTTTTTGAATGGGGAAGATCCTGAATGCTCATTGTCACTTGCAGTGTAGCTCATACTGTGTACTTTTTCTCCCCAAGAGCTTAGTCTGTTTTTTCTGCAGCATAGATGCTTCCAAGCAAGTAAAGTGATAATAGATAAGACAGAGTTAAGACATAATCCCCACAACACAAATGGCTTGCCATCGGGTCCATCAGGTGGATGATTCCCTCCCTTTAGCTGAATTCTCCTCAGAAAGTGCTTCAGGCTGGTACAATTTTAAAGTGCAACAGCTGGAACAACCAGTTTTCCTGGCTCCCCAGGGAGAAGGCAGAGCAGGCCATCTGGAACCGGCTGCAGCACCTCAAGGCGCTGAAGGCCCGTCGGCAGCAGGCTCGTGCACCCCTGCGCATCGGGATCCTGGGTACCACCAGACTGCATTCACTGTTCCCCTCTGGCAGCACCCACCTTTTCCGTGGGGTGAAAGCAGCTGGGAAGGGCTGTGGAGCTGTAACAGGTGGTGGGCACTGCCTCACAAGGACCGTTCTCCTTTTGTTGCAGGATGCATGGCTGAGAGGCTTAAGGAGGAGATTCTGCAGAGGGAGAAGCTGGTCGATGTCGTGGCAGGCCCGGATGCCTATCGCGACCTGCCCCGGCTGCTGGCTGTGGCAGAGTCTGGCCAGCAAGCTGCCAATGTCCTGCTGTCCCTAGATGAGACTTATGCAGACATTCTGCCTGTCCAGACTAGTGCAGGTGGCACGACAGCGTTTGTGTAAGTACCTTCTCCCAGTGCTTGTTTCTGTGGCTCTGGTTTGGAAATCTGCTGTGCAGAGCAGACGTGCCGGTGACAGCAGCAGCCCAGGAGATGCAGTGCCTGGCTGCACTCGCTCCCGGCAGCCCAGAGGCATGAATTTACCAAAATGTGTGTTTGCTGCTGCTTCACTATGTGACTGAGTCCTGGAGAGCCTGCCCCAAGCTCTGGCTGTCATGGACTTCTCTCCCTCACCTTTGGGAATGCTGACTGCCTCAGCCTGATGCTGTGCTGAGTGATTTCTGTCCCACTGACGTCTGTGCCTCTCTCATCCCCTGCTTTCTGTGATGCCCTGCCCTAGGTTCTGTTATTTATTCTTCTAATCCGCCACACATTGTAACTTCTGTTGATTTTATTTCTGTTTGTTTAGTTTTGATAATAACACTCCCAAACATGAAACCTCACTCTGCTCTGTGTGGCCATAGCATATGGAAGGACAGTATTGCTCTCTGCAGGAGAGTGGGAAGGACCTTTGGTCACTGCCAGGCTGCAGTGGAAGTCTGTGCCTTGTTCTTTTCAACTTTCTTGGGAATGTGCATGAAGAATCAGGAGGTGTTAGCTCAGGGCAAGCCAAAGGCAGGGTGGGTGGAGGGGAGTGTGAGGTAAACTGCAGAGCTGTGCCCAGAGCTGGTCTGTGTGCAGAGCTGGCTGGAGGCAGCAGTGCTGGGCACAAAGCAGGGCAGGATGCAGCATGGATGGTTCTTGCAGAGCAGTCGTGGTGTGACCTGTGCTTTACGTCTGGGCAGGTCCATCATGCGGGGCTGTGACAACATGTGCACCTATTGCATCGTGCCCTTCACCCGAGGCCGGGAAAGGAGCCGCCCCATCGCATCCATCCTGCAGGAAGTGAGGATGCTCTCGGATCAGGTGAGGCAGAGCCTCCTCCCACCTGTCCCAAGCCATGGGAGGAAGGGTGGGGTTTGGTAGCAGTGTTTTCAGTGATACATTTAACCACCTCTACCTTTGTCTGTGGAGATGAGGTTACTCTGGGGTTCCACCACTGGTTTTTTGATTCCTCTTGTAATACTCCATGATAGACAGGGAAAGGAGGGCTTCCTTGGAAAATCCTTCGAGTAAAACCATGACTGCCCTTGCAGCTTGTCCATCCTGCTCAGGTTATATTTTTTCCTCTCTTGTTTATTTTGTAGGGAGTGAAAGAAGTGACCCTCTTGGGTCAGAACGTCAACAGCTATAGAGACCTGTCTGAGGTGCAGTTCCAGTCAGCAGCTGCCCCAGGCCTCAGCCGTGGCTTTAGCACAGTCTACAAAGCCAAACAGGGAGGTTTGCGCTTCGCACACCTGCTGGACCAGGTCTCTAGGATTGATCCAGAAATGAGGATCCGTTTCACCTCTCCACACCCCAAGGATTTTCCTGATGAGGCAAGTGTAAAATAAACACCTAGACCTCT